GAGAGAGAGAGAGAGAGAGAGAGAGAGAGAGAGAGAGAGCTCATGATCTGTTCAATTGTGTCAAGTTGTCAACTGTTTCAACAAGAGTTACATGCCTTTGACAGCAAGGAAAAGCAAATTAGAGGAAGTAGACCATACTTGCGGCGCACCGCACTGCGCCCCGCACCCGATTAAATAGGGTCGCAAAAAAAAAAAAAACGGGGGGTGGGGTTTGAGTTCGGTGCCCCCCCGGCCTCCCAAAATTGAAAAACAGGCCGCGCCGGCTTCGAAACCGGCCCCGCCCGCGGCCCGAAGTTTTTTTTTTGGCGGAAAGGTCTGCAGAATTCGAATTCGAATTCTGCAGGTCTTCCCCCCCAAAAACAAACACTTCGGGCCCCGGGCGGGGCCGGTTTCGAAGTCGGCGCTGCCCATTCGTGTGCAGGTTCGTGACGGCCGACCGATGACGACGAGGGAGGGAGGAGCCGACGAGGACGACGACGGTGGACTGCCGACTTTGAAACAACGACGGACGACGACGAAGGAGGGAGGAGGGCTGCCGACAAGGATGACGACGGGGGACTGTCGACGAGGACGACGGCGGCGAAGGAGGGAGGACGTCTACCGGCAAGGATGACGATGACAAAGGAGGGGGGAGGGACGACTACGAACCACAACGAGGACGACGAAGGAGGGAGGAGGGCTGACGAAGGAGGGACGAGGGCTGACAAGGAGGGAGGAGGGGGCGGCAGCGGCAGTGCCAGCACTCAGCGGCGGGAGGGAGCAGCGGGAGGCAGCGATCAGAGTGCACCGGGCGACGATGGCGGTAGGCACCACCAGCTCTCTCTCTCTCTCTCTCTCTCTCTCTCTCTCTCTCTCCTCTTTTTCATCTTCTCCCTCCTCCTCCTCCTCCTCCTCCTCTTCTTCCTCCTCCTCCTCCTCCTCCTCCTCCTTTAATGTTAACGCGCCAGGTGGCTGATCTTTTTTATTTTTTTATTTTTTTTTATTTTATATTCTAACGCAGTTATTCTTCCCCTCCTCCTCCTCCTCCTCTTCATCTTCTCCCCCCTACTCCTCCTCTTCATCTTCTTCGTCCTCCTCCTCCTCCTCTTCGTCCTCTAATGTTAACATGCCACGTGGCAGATTTTTATTTTTATTTTCATTTTATGGTTCGGCTATTCCAACGCAGTTATTCTTCCCTCCTCCTAATCCTCCTCCTCTTCCTCCTCCTCCTCCTATTCCTCCTCCTCTTCTTCCTCCTCCTCCTCCTCCTCCTCCTCCTCATCTTCTTCTTCCTCCTCCTCCTCCTCCTCTTCGTCCTCTAATGTTAACGTGCCACGTGGCAGATCTTTTTTTTTTT